TGCAAGTGTGTGTGTGTGCGTGTGTGTGTGTGTGTGTGTGTGTGTATGTGTGTGCAGAAGAGGACGTGTGTGTATGTGTGTGTGTGTGTGTGTGTGTGTGTGTGTGCCTGTCAGTGCCAAGGCTTTGATTTGTGCCCTTCATGTTATGGCTTGGAGAAGTAATCATTAACGCCAAAGCCACTTTGGCTTTTCAAATGCTGTTTTTCTCTCTTTTTAAATGGAATAAACAAACAAGTGATAATCACCTTTCTAGTGTCGGCTCAAAATGAATCCAGAATGGGGGACATTGTTCTGTGTCCATTGAAACACAAGATACCTCCCCTCCCCTGATGTTTTTGTCTGTGTTGGTGTGAATGACTGACTTTTTAGATCAGTCAGTTCCTCATGTGTTCAACAATAAACGGCAGAGTTCAAGAAGAACCCAGCCTACGCTCATATCCTCTCTGTGTCAGTCACAGCTAACAATACAGAGTTGCACAGAATTACTGTATGTTCCCCTCAATGTTTTAGTGCTATACACACCATGAGCATTTATTCAACCAGTTACAGTAAGCTACCATCAAACCATTTCACTTTCATTACCCCTCATCCTTCTACTCCCTCTCAGCATATAAATTGGAGACTTTTCTTAATCAATTTACTGCACACAGAACATTCTCATACCAGTCTACGGTCTAGTCACATCACTGAATAAAACACACCATCAGAGACATAAAAAAAAAAGGTTCATCTCTGTTTTGGGTATATTTTTTCATTGGTGTAGCACATTGAGGGATTTGCATACCTGGCAATATATTTCTGGTAGAGGTTGATGTCGTCGCTGGCGGGTTTATCTGGTGGCAGGCCATTCCTAATGCAACAGCAAACACAAAAGAGACAGGATTAATGGTGAGGTTGGGCTGCCTGTTGTTAATAAAAACAAACTGACACAATATTTACTTACAAGCCGCTCCCAAACTTTGGACTATCAATATACATTTTCTTGTGGCATAACAGCGTTTTCATGTGCCGTATGAATCAGGGATGGAAGGCGCACACTTTGATGCATGGTCTCCCAACCAATGAAAGGCAAAATGCAAGAGCAAAGGGACATTAATCTTTTATGGGGGTATTTTGGTGAGTGCTCATATGCAAAACTGGATAATGGGGATGTGGAAGAAAAGCTCTGAAAAGGTCTTTTCTAATAATCTCTAAGGGCCTTGGCTCTAATACCGATGTCAAGCTGTCTCTAATCAGTCTGGACTCACTTCATACAGAGATGTAAGACAACACTGCAGCTTTAAATACATATGGATCAAACTAATCGACTCAATACCAGTTTCAGCTCAATCAGATTCAGTTCTTAAACAGGGAATCAAGAGGAATTTATCACATTACAGAGGCGTGCTGAGGAACACTGTGTGCTTCTTCTCACCTGTGATGTAAAGCTGGTAGCAGTACTGTCTGTAGAATGACAGTCATAATACAGTATTGGTTCTGCTTGCTCCCTTTCAGAAATGGCATTTAGCTCCATGTGAGCAGCTCCACACGGGGGATGACCTGAGGTTAATCTGGCCCGGAGGGGAGGATGCGCTGCCAGACATTCTCCCTAGCACCCCCTCTCCTCCCTGTATACAAGCACCAGACTGGGTCAGTTAGCCAAGCTTGCAGCTCCTCTGAGCCCCAACCTGACAAAGGCCAAAACCTGAGGGAGAGGTGCCTGAGGGCTCTTGAACAGTGTCTTTGATAGGTCTTGACTAACTAGAGACAAGGTCAAAACCAATCAAACAGACTCTGGGAGCTGTTTCCTACTGGTAGTGCACACGACTGTAGGCTAGCTCCCCAAACCCCTCGTTTGCTTCCTTTAAAGTGCACTCGTCAGGCAGTGTAGAGTCGGCCCCTGTGACTCGCCGGGAGGTTAGTCATGGCTCCAAAGTAATTAAAGGGAGAGTTGTTACACCCTAGCCAAACGAAAGAAGTCAGTCACTTTGCGATGACTGTGCTAAATCAGTCTCCACGGAGTGCTACAGCGAGTAAACACTTCATGTGCCTTCGCAACTCATCATGTCGTGGATCTATTGGGCGCTATGCGCTATTTCACACTACATTCCTGTTGGCTGCTGTGGAGGTAGCAATTACCTTTGCGTTAGGCTAACTGACTCACAGTAGCAGTTAAGTGTATGTGAGCTTCACATTAGCTCCAAGGTGTTCCACTGGAACTTGGAATATTTTCAATCCACCAGTAAAAGGCTGATTTTTAAACCGCATGCATTGTTTTGGTGTAAAAAACTAATGCAGTATGGCACGCAGTATTTTTGTCAATAAGCACAAATCTCACAATAATCAATTAGACAAAGGATGAGAGGCAAGTTTTCCCCAAAGTTCTGTATTTTTATACAGAACTGTTTTATTACCTTATTGTTGACTCCGCCAAGGAAGTTTTCTGCACCATTTATATTATTTGTTTGTTTGTTAGTTCTAGTATCTCATGATACACTAAACAGATTTCAATGACATTTAGTCAGAAGTTCAGCCATAAGAAGTTAGAATTAGTTTTTGGTAGTGCCACCATTTTGTTGCACTATACTTTTCTGCTCAATTCTGCTGAACTGATTTATTTCACCAATCAAGCTACAAATTTAATCCAATCAGCTCAAAATCTGACCAATTTAACAGATGCTAAAATGTTATATCATTTTGCATATGGGTGATACTATAGCCACATTATAAGCTTGTGACTTGCTTATAAGTTTGCACAATTCTATTATTCATAGAAGAGATTTAGTACATCTCAAAAAATCTGTATTATCTATCTCTATTTGTATTTTGGTACAGACTAAAAACTTGGCGGAGGTGTCTCTCTAGTTTATATGATGTTTGAGTTGACTTACTTAACAGAGGACACAGTCCCCGTGGTGATGGAGTCAGTCTTGGAAAAGCTGGACTTCAGGTAGTCAGAGGCGTTGAAGCTTATGTGTCCCGTCTGGTCCATTGTGAGCCCTGGGGCGATGCTGGCCCCAGTTGCGGCTACGGTGGGGACACCAGGAGCTCCTGGGTTCCCTGGTGCTGTAGCGAGGACATTGGGCATCAGTGAGGCCTCAGGATTTCCTGGCATTAGCTTCTGAATTGTTCTGACGTCATACTTCGAAGGACGGCCCACTTTGCCAGTCTTAAAGGCGATGGCACCGCCCATGTCAGGGTTGCCTTCACCAGGCTTGAAGAGGTGCAGAAACTTGACATTTTCTAAGTCATACTTGGAGGGTCGCTTGTAAGCATTACCGTTCTGCTGCTGTAGACTCTCGCCCATCTTCAGCTTCTGAATGAAGAAGTCATACTTGGAGGCTCGGGACACCATGTTCTGGATGTGAGCGGGATTTGGTGGCTGAGAAGTGCCAAGCTGAGGTCCTCCTGGCTGTTTGTGGTCCAGGCTGGAGGGGTAGATCTGTGCCTCGGCCCCTGGGAGGCACCCGGAGGTCTGGAGCATGGTAGCGCTCTTGTCTTGGGCCAGTTTTGAGTTGAGGTCGTCTGGTTTGGGTGGGGAAGCATGAATGGGCCAAGGTAAAGTCTCGCCGGCTTTTAGCTTGCGAATGTACTCTTCGTACTTAGAGAAGCGGGCACGCCGTGAGGCCTCCTCACTGCTGAGGGATGAAGGGTCTGAGGTAGCGGCTTTGAGCTTCTCAAAGCTGATCTTCTTGGTCAGCTCATCCCTTACCTGCTGGTCATCATAACCGAACATTCCCAAAAATTCATTCATGGTGTTGGCTGCATAGTCTCGCAGGGCAGATGCTTCTCCTGCACAGAGAAAAAGAAAGGTGAGCTCCTATGTAAGATGTATAAATCTTACTACTTTCAGATTTTTATTTTATTATTTTTTTTAATACTGCTAATTCATGTCACTCAATCAGTCCACCAAATAGTTCTCTCTTGCTTAATATTGACTGATGCTTGGTCGACAAGTGTTACATTGTTGCAATGCTTTGTAGCAAGAGTCTAGATTTGATCATTTATTTATTTGTTTGGCATCAAATACATTTGTTACAAATGGACTACTCTGGCAAAGTAGTTTTGTGTTACAAGTGGAGAATATATTTTGTCAGCCCAATTAATGAAACAATGCTCTCTCACTTCAACATTTTAGGCAAACATGCTGCTACATTGTGACAATGGAAGACTGCTAACCTAGTAGAACTACTACTACATTATATAGCAATACATTCTTATAATTGACTTGCTGTTTTTTTAGAACTGTTGTAAATTTAACAACAGGAAAAGTGATTCTGCACTGCAAGCTACAACAACACCTGTACATGTCTGTGTATTTATGTGTCTACAGACAAGCAGTCTGAGGCAATGCTCTTCCTGTTTTGGTTGCACTATAAGTCAGTCCTGCAGAATTTGCGGGTGACTGTACCAAAAGACACACTGAACAAACAAACCTTTGATTTTCTATGCTCATCATGTTATGCTACTGTAATAACACAGCAATTCTAAATTAATCAGAATAACCTTTACAGAAATACATACCACATTAAGAGACCATATGTGAGACAAAAATATATAGGGGAAGCTTTAGAAAAAAATCTTCTTCCCCAGCAAATTTCTACGCATGCACATATATATATATATATATATCAATATATATATATATATATATATGAGAAATTATAGCATGCAATTCATAAAATCTCCCTTGAAGCTTGGTGTAAGGTATTTAAAAATATGATGATTATTGTGTAACCTACAAGAGTGAAAAGAACAAATTATTTCCTCCTTTCGTCTTTTTACACATTTGTGAACTGAAACATCACTTTCATTTTAAGAGTCCATTAAATTGGACAACTTCCCCAAGGACATAGGCGAAATATAGTCAATGTATAGTTTAATTGCATTATGCAGAGATTAATTCTGGCCCATTAACTTTCATCCAGGTTAGTGCAAGGGGTCAGAGAGTGGGGAAAAGGGAAAAATGATTTGGCCTGAAAGCAGTGGAGGGACAAACTTCTGCATAAAAAAGAGGAGCATGGACAGAAAGGAAAAGATACAGACAGAAAACTAGAGAGACTCTTGAGGAAACATTTCCCAGACAGTTGTCTTTGCTGATCAAACTCAATTCCAAAAATCTGTTGTGTCAGTTCTTATGTTAGGCAGGAACCAGAACACAGACATGCTAGTAATGCACCAGATGATCATTTTACCTGGCTCATGTAAAAGCTTTGGCCTTCTTAACTCCTCCTTGGCACAGTCACAGTGCAATTTTTTTTTTTATTTGTTTTATTGCTTTTTTCATTACCAGAAAACAGATAAGGTGGTGAGAGGTAATACCACCTACCACCCGGGTAATTAATACACAAATATTTCTGCTCTTGTCTCAGATTTCTCAGTTATTGCTAAATCAGTCACTGTGCCCTGCTATTCACATCTCATGTGCAGCATGTAAAATAATCCCCAAATTTCCATTCACTGTGTTGGGGTTGCTCCTCTGCGCAGTGGATCAGTATGAAAGAGTATCTGGTGGATCGAAAGGGCATGAAAAATTTAAGAGAAATGGATCAGGTATTTGAGAGGAAATACCTGCATGATTGCCACAGATCATTTTATCAAAGTTTTTACATGTGCTTAAACCACAGAGTGACATACTGTATATACAAGAATCTACTGCTGAGTACACTACAATTTACCTTATACCGTACATCAAGTTGTTTAGCTGATATACATAACAGATCACTGAAGGGACATCTCAACATGTCCATGTAAAATGTAATGGCTGAACATTCTTTTCATTTAATTTAGGTGCTGATAACCTTAGTGCTTGGATGGATTTTACTGCTACTGTATTTATAAGGGTGTCTCAGGTCACGGTATATCATATAGCTCTAAAGTTAGGGCAGACCCGCCCACACCAGTATGAGTCAGAAAATGGAACTACACTTTACTGAGGGAGGAATGATATTTAAAAAGAGGATGGTAGAATAAACATCATTGAATGGGAATCATATTAAAACCTTTCCAAATAAAGAAAATCTGAATCATTCTGATCACTAATAAGAAAATTGTCACAGTTGATTCTGTACTGACTGTGAATAGCTTTATGCCTATTGACTGCTGTTTTGCAGTAGGTATCAAATTAAAGAAAACATCTATAATTTTTGTGGGTCAACTGGGTCAATTGCTAATTATTGCAGACAGACTAGTGGTTTCTGTCATGGGAGCACCAATATCCCTTTTTTCAAATTCTATTTGCGTAGGGTATTATCATCGCCTTCTTCAAAAAATTAGTCGAGTCTCTTTATTCATCAGTGGAGCCATGTGACGTGCTATCAATGAAAGGCAAATGATTGGACTTGAAAGGATTATGACTGGGACTGACAGGAGATAACCTTTCTAAAACACGATGTAAATGAGTTTTCTACTCAAGTCCTATCTGGCTGCCTCTTAATGATGTCATGTGACACCGGGTGGGAAACTCGGTATGGGTTAAGGTGGGACTGGCCCCACCACTACCACCCACCCTCAACCAAAAAAAACAAACAAAAAACTAAACCTCTCTTTGTCTTTATCTCTAATAATTTTTCTCCTGCTAGATTTCCCTCTACACTCTCTCTGATGTCACTGGAAAATCTACAAAGAAGTGGTTTCTAATCTTGACACTTCAGGCAAGCAAAATCCAGCACGCGACACAGACCTGCCTTGTCTATATTTGAGGCAATTAGGCCACATTTTCCCTCCCAGATATGATAACAGATGGGTATTATATCTCCTTTTGGGTGACCAAACATGGCCATCAGTGTGGCATAGCTTCTCTGCTCACAGGACTGAGAGGCAGAGGTGTTGCTGATGATAAAGGTGCATGCTAGTGGCTATATATGGACTAATCTAGAGTTTGAATACCCTCTAAAGGGTGTCCGTTTTGAACCACACATGCACAATGTAAACCATTTGGTTAAAAAAACGTTTTAATAACATGCAGTGTTTTCAGTGGACTGCAGTGCAGAGAACACAGAGAATTATTTTATATGGTACAATCATTTAAATAGAGTTTTAAAAAGCAATTTGTGTTCATGTTAGTGAATTAGTTTAAGTGTGTTGTGTTTAAATGGACAGTGGTATCCTAATAAAAAGTTGCTTTGAATAAATGACATTATGTGCATTTGTTTGGACTAATTTGACACGCACAAAACTGTACGCAGCTTCAAACTTCCTCGCTGTTTGGTTAGTTAATTAACAGCCAGTAAATAGAGAGGGCTTTGAAACAGCTTGAAATGAACAATAACCTTTTACAGTGAACCCAGAATTGCAAATGGAAGTCATGGTCAAGCCTGTTTGATCCATCGCTATGAGCATCTCTGTCATTGCTTTCATAGTTTTTATTCATTGGTTTTTCCATTGACTGGCTTATGAGGGCTCTAATGCGACATCTAAATTATCTAGGAAAAGTATTCTGGGGTTTTGCACTGATAGGAAATCCGCACGATGCCTCAATGTGAGGAGTTAAATGTTTTGAAGGTCGCAGTTTCTCTCATTGATCTTGCAATGTTTGTTAATTACATTGTCACTGATGTTGTGAGAGATAATTAAGCCACTATGTTTATATGCATAATTACGTGCACTCCGCATCAGCCTTTGAAAGACAGCGGCGAGAGAGAGAGAGAGAGGGGGAAAAATGTTTTAATTGTGAGCTGAGCAGAAACATGGCAATATAGATGCCCTAGTTACAATCAACAAAGAGCAACTCTGAAAAAAAAAACACTCTAAAGACAAGATTTGCAACTGATGCAGTGTGCTCTCCCCGCAGTCTTTAAACAGTCTGGCTTTGTTGTGAGATGTAAAGTAGTAAGGGAGCCAGTGGAGGGAAAGGTGTAGGCCTGCTACACAACAGTAATACATATTTACAGACAGGCTTTTTTATGGCCATGAAATAAACACAAAATGACTAATTAAAACCACAAAGCCTTTTTCATTTGCCTCTGAAATGAAACCTGCTTCATTTTCTGAGAAGACCCTGCCCCCAATTCTGTATGTGGCCAGAGCTACTGCTGTGCAGTTAGTGAAAACAAAAAGAAATGTAGACAAAAAGGAGCATGTGTACATGACTGTGAGGTAGATAGCTAAACCTAGATGAAAGACCAAAAAACTGTTAAACTGAGGTGAGCAAGCACAAAACAAAACTTGTTTTGTACCGCAACAACCGGTCTCACCTCCAAATTGCTGGGTTTTTTTCTCGGTGTCTGTGAAAAGGGCTTTATCTATTCATATAACCGAGCAATGTCTTTTTTTTCCTTTTTTACAGCTCTGTGTTTTAACTTCTGCTATACAAAGGCCAGTCTCTCCTATAGTGCGTATGTGTCTAGTTTCAAGGGTCACAAAGCATATAACTGTAAACGGTACTTTCTTAAAACATTGTTTGTGCTGTTAACACATACGGTTGCTACTTCAGAGTGACTGTTGGAAGTCTCTGCCAGCTTTATCTATTTGATAATCAGTGAATTATACCCAGGGAACATCATGTCACAATTAAACAGGGGTTATTATGAGTCATTTACAGGAGCACATAGTATTAAGGAATTTATTAAAATATGTTCATGTCTGCTAACAATAAATACATGGAGCCAGTGTTGTTTGTGAGGAGATAATAACATACTTAAGTGTGATATGGCATTGCAATATAACTTCTGACTTTATCTGACAATAGATCTCTTGGATTTGACAACTGTGAAAAAAACCTGAACTCCTCCACGGCAGACTACAACTCCATGTAATAGAGGAGCTTGAAGCAGTGGCTAAGTTTAGTGAGCTTAGAGAAAATCAAAGACTCAATGTGTAATCCTGGGTGTAATATGAAGCTTAGCCTGGTCCTGCCATGCGCTCTTGGCCCACAGCTGCTGGGAGAGTACATAAACGGCCTTACATTGTAAGCCTACTCCATTTATGAATTTCTTTGTACAGTTAACCACACACTGACAAGTTCCTGTTTTCCCCCCTGGCCTGCCAGTTGAATCTGTCTTTAGGGTAATAATGTCACTGGCTATTCCTAATGTAACTCTAGAGCTTTTTTTTCCAGCAACTGGCACACTTAAGCTTATGTGGATGTGGTAATGTCACCAACCGTCTATCTAAGCCTTTGCCCCGTAATGCTATGGAGTGTAATGATTTGAAGGGCAAAGGTAGTGCAGGTTTAAGATAGTTTAGTAGAAGTTTAAGTATAAAAAGGGTCAAGTATAACTCTGGCAGGGGTATCAGAAGGAAACTGATTGGAGGACAGAGAGTCAAGATGTACCTGGAGAGGAGAAAGGTGGTTGGCGACTCTGGGCCTCACTTGGCGGCATGTAGGTGTCATCTTTTGAAGGCCTGTCTTCAACTTCTTTGTTGTCATGGAAACTACCATCCCGAGACCTTGCCACAGGCTCAGCCTCCTCTTCATCATCACTGCAGCCTTTGGGCTGTACCATGTACACGCCCTCAGGAGGGGCATCTTCGTCAGTGCTGACTTTGAGTTCTTGCTCCTGTTCATCATCAGGAACTGGCGGCTCGTCGCCGTACTCACCGTTGACCCACTTTTCGATGGCCTCGCGTCTCTTCTGGTCCTCCTCTAGGCTCTGAGTCAGGCTCAGGCTCTCAGGGAAGTTGGTCTCATTGTCATCGTAGTGGGAACTGCCACGCTCGCTGTTGTCTGCTACACTCTGGTCTCCCTCTGCATTCTGGGAGCTGCTGTCGAACACCACCTGGCGGCTCAGCTTGGCACAGATAGCATTGAGTTTTAGGCCACCTTTCCTTTTGGCGGCCATCTTGGATTTTCCTGAGGTCGTTTCAGTGCATAAACTCCTTTCAGCTGATGGAAACAAGAACAAAGAAAAAAAAGATATGAGATAAGTTGTTCACTGTCACAGTTATCTGCGTTAAGGTTAAATTTCACTTTTAACTCAGTAAGCAGGCTTTTTAAATGAGGGCCAGTTTCGCTTTCAGTATCACCAGAAACAAAGAACCAGGTTTTCCATGTGTAACTTGTACTGGCTTTAGAAATCACAATGGAAAAACAACATAGAACAACAGTGACTGCTGCTATTAATAACATCCAAAAGCACTTAACAATAACAGCACAAGACTAGAAGGACACACAGAGATACTGTACATATCTTTCTAAGTCACACCTCTTCGGTCAGCTCAGAGTTTAACACAGTGGTGAAAAAAAGGCGAAAGAAAAGCGCACGCAGCTGAAATCACTGGCAGATAGGTATCAGACCCCCTACGGTACTACAAGCAGCAAATACACGGCTACATAATCCTTCACATGACAGCGCATAGAGACACTGTGAAATGTTATCTTCACTCTCACCTCAAGAGGCTGTGGTCCTGCCACTGAGTGGGGGGCTGCAGAGCATTAAAGCTGTCAGGATGTGGAGTGAATATGCTGAGCACTTTTGGGCTTTTTGGAGCCGTGTTCTCATGTTGGCTATTCTGCGGGATTAGACTCAATAACTGTTTCGGTAGAAGCTGCTGGTTTCACTTTATTAAAAGGAAAATAATAAGCCGTGTATATAAGCTCTTTCAACCCTCTGCTGTCTTTTACTGTTGATCTAGCCAAGACAGTAACATGGGTACATCGAACAAAAAATGTTGTAGTTACAGTGCTTTACATATCTTTACTTAACAAGACATACTGCACAGTCTCAACATTTTTTCCCCCAGTGCAGCCTCTCTGAACAATAGAGCATGATAGAGTGTGCTTTGGGGCAGGAATGGGTGGCATTATTTCAACCCAAGTGGGGCTATCTTTATAACATGTCCTCTGATGAGGCAGGAACAGCTGCCTGTGGCATTCCATATCCAGAGCTGCCTTTTTAGGGCAGAAAATGCACTCTAGTACCTTTCACTTTATTTCCAGAGCCACCAAAGTTCACCTTACAACTGCATTTTCCGGACTCAAAATCGAGTCCAGATCATTATCAAGTTGTAAATAACTTTTAAAAAGCAAGGAGGAGGTGACCGTGAGTAGCACAGTATTTATGCTATCAAAAAAAAAAAGCAGTCAAATCACCATGGATCAGACAAGCATGTTAACGTGTATTCTGTTTTTATTTGGTAGTATGTAAAGCTTTGTCAGTTGAGGCTCTGTGAAAACAGTTAAAGAGCCCGCCACAGCAGACATATTTCTTCTTGTGTGGAGTTGTATTGAATCTTAACTCAGCCACACTGTGGTTAAGATAATATACTATACTGAGCTATGGACACACCATTTCAGCAGACAAAAATATGTGATATTAGAGGTAACAAAGTTCTATCTTAAAGACTCAATTCACTCTCTATAACAATGAGTACGAGCCTCTTCATTTTCCCTCAGCCATAAAGCCAAGCACAATCATGTGTGAGGCATTGCCAGCATTATGTAAATCACATCGGTGCAACATAAAATCCTGTTTTCATTTTCTTTTGCAAAGCTGTGGAATCATTAGAGGATATACAATTTGAGGGAGTTTACAGATCACCCCACTGCCAGACAATGCACCTCGTGCTCCCCACACATGCTTTCTCAGTTACTGTATTTACATTGCAGGCTTCCTCTCTAAAACAATGACTTCAGGAATTATGTAGTTTTGAGTGGGCCGTATATCAGCTGCACATTACTGTACAATTTAGTGTTAGACAATTGCAGGCGGGGGTGAAAGGGTCACCTTTTAGAAGACAGCAATTTAAAAAAAAAAAAAAAGGAATCAGCTGGAAAAACTATTAGGAAGTGGAAGACATAAATTTTCAAGTTTTTTTTTCAGAAATACTCTACAAAGGAAGATTGAGGTCATTTGGGTGTTGCAGTGGAGGTCATTTTTTCTGTTTACTGCATTCAGTATTTCATGCTTTAACTACCGATTTCCTTTGCATTGCAATCTCAAGCTCCTTGTAGGAAATGACCCCTACACAGTTGTTTCTTTCCATTAGTGAGTATTTATGTATGATTTTCTGTTAACAATAAGGAGCGTGAGTAGAGGACCAAATGCTACTGGCTGAGTATCTAAGCAGGCTTCTAACTATATTATCAGACATCTTAAGCACATATTCAGTGTTTTCTTTTTAAAGGAATACGTGCTTAAAAACAAATTTAATATTGTGAGCTTCCCGTGAGGAGGAACATGCTATGGTTCGATGGTTTATGGAAGCTGTCTAAACTATTATTTATGCTGAGGGTTTCTGTCCACAGCAGCTTTTTGCCATTGCTTACAATAGGGATCGCTATGGTAACACTAAGCTGTTTACCTCAAGTCGTTTGTGTGCATGATAGCGTACAATGAGATAAAATCAGTGGGGACCTACATGAAAGAACAACTTTTCCCTCTGGGACCAACTCCCCCACCTCCCTGAGAGTCCAGTAAGCATTCTGCCTTATTAATGAATATCAGAAAGAAAAACAACACTGTCACATGCATTGGACATTATTTACAGTCTGTTTTAGCCTGGTGTGCTAATTGTCAAGGAGGAGACACCTCAGCAAGCACTGGGAGTTGGAAAAAATAGACAGGTTTGAATTTGAACACAACAGCTGAAACTAATTTTTCCAACTGCTTATGTTAACTGTGACACTATTTTTACTGGAAACAGTGCAGGGCCACAAAGGAGCGCCATGTACTGTCTGTATAAGGCCAAAACCTGAGGAAAAAGTCAAGAAACTATTTTGAATACATTTGGAAGAGGTCAGGTTCTTTTTCATCTTCAGTCAAAAATAAGTGCATCAAAGTTCTTTCGGGTCCTGTTTCTTCTCAGCGCTGGATGACACAGCTTGTGTTCAAATCTAGCCCTCCGCACTGACAAACTTACTCTTCCACAGCTCTAAGCCCCACAGGTCTTGTTGGTTTTTGATGCAGAGTCTCTGTTTGTGTGCCAGAATGATATCATGCCCAATCAAGTGGTGTTTCAAATCCTAATAACGCTGTTGGAAGTGCATTATTTGTGTGAACGTGCACAGACTGTAATCAAGGCAGCTACGGGTAAAGGATGTGGGAGTTAACAGTGGTTGTGACTGGCAGGGTCATGGCTTTACCTCCTTCTGACATACAAGATGAGGCAGCTTATGTCCAAAATGCTCCTGTAATCATCTTATGGAAGATGTAAAGCCACATATACAACATATAGAAAATTGAATAACTTGACTTTATTGCTTATTCAAAGTGCAGTGCTGCACCATAAACACACCGACTCCCTGCAGTTTGTATGGAGCGAGCACACAGGAGGGTCTGTACATAAGAGAGGTAGATATTACCTGTTTAAACTGAAGCTTATGTCTTCACCTAATCAAACACAGGTACAGGGCTTGTTGTAGATTCCTGCTGAGTTCCAACATGACTGACACTGGGACAAACCCCCTGCAATATCAGGAGTTAATTAATACAAACAGGGTCTGGGAGATGTCTGTTCAGCTCAGAATTATTTTACAATATTCAACCAAGAGTTCCTGTAGCTCTTTAAAAAAGCCCTGTTATAACTTTATGAACCTTTGGCAGATTAATCGACAAGGCTGCAGCTCCCTGTGTGTAGCTCAGTGAACCTTTTGTGTCTCTGGCTCTCAAGGGAGATGTATGTGTGAGAGAGTGTGTGAGTGCATGTGTGTTTCAGTGAAATCACTGAGCCACACAGGCAAACATACACAGACACACTTCAAAATTACCATGTTTTTATTTTTGTAAATTTACGGCTTGCAGGAAGAGAATGTTTTCCTCTTCTCTCTCTCCCCCTGCATGGTAGAGAGGATGCGGCAGCCGCAAGGAAGTCAAGCGGAAAGCCACTGATGGACAACTACGCCACGACACCCAGACCCCAGCATCTGGCCCCTCTCTCATTTTTATTACACAAGAATAACAATAAGCAGGTCGGCGACCCCGCCGTGAGATTTTGCCACAGTTTTCCAACAGTCGGTGCAGCCGATGCTGAGAAATTTCCATTTTTCCGCATGCATATTTAATTGAGTTTTGTCCCAGTGGTGCGGAAATGATTTGTTTTTTGCTCTCTGTTCACTTGACTCCTCTTCGGAGTCGCTAACCCTGATTAAGACGTTCCCGTTAATTTCCCAGCGCACACCTTTTTTTTGTGCATTAATGGTTCTGATCGTCTAATTAAAACTTCTCAGCTCGGCTGCTGATCACCGCTCGTTGTGCCTCTGACCTGAAGTTTTAATTGCCGCATCAGAAGCGATAATAATAATTTTGAGGTTCTGATGATTAAAAACAATGCCACTGCCAACTAGTTGATAGATGGGGGTTTAGGGGTGGGTACATCTGAGGAGAAGTTTATGTAGAGAAGGGATTTAGAAAGCAGGCTGTAAAGGTGGGTATACACTACCAAGGAGCAAAAAGGGTGGGGGGAGACTCACTGTAGGTGATCACGGAGGGGAAGAGGGTGGCAGAGCATATGGAAATCTCCCAGCCCTCTGGTCCCTTAGAGTCTTTCTGAAGAAACAGGTTTGGCTGGGACTGGGACTTAGCTTTCCCCACCTCAAATCTAAATCTGCCACTAACTGATCCACTTTCGAGCTCTACTCACTTGGCAGGTTTGCCAGGTTAGGGAAGAGAGAGAACAAGAGATAGAGAGAGCACGAGAGAAAGAATGATAAAGGCACATAAAAGATGACGACAGTCCAATACCTTCTGCTTATTTTCATAAAAAGATAATAGCACAGCAGGCGCAGTACAAAAGGCACATTGTTCATAAAGTGGCTGAATGGAAAAAAGGAACCTACACTGACTGTTGTCTCTGTCATAAAACATGACACTGATGATATATATGATACGTAGATTACTGTCAAAACAGGAGAAGTGAGTTGTTTGTGATCTTCTTTTAAACAGTAGT